TGTTTATTTTTTAAATGGCTAAAATATTTGAATACGCACATATAGACACACAACTACAATATTAATTTTGAGACAATAATTTGTCGCGAATGTACTCTTCAATAATTAATACGCAAAGAGTTCGTCCAGAGAAGTACTGCTTTACCTATTTCTGCCGCCAAGCAGTAATGTCAGCATTACCGTGTTTCTTAGAACGGTAAGGGTGCTGGTGAAATCACAGGCACATATGGGACTTGTCAACTTATGTTTCAGGGTAACGAACGCAGTGGCTGTGCCTCTCCGATCTTTGCAATTTAAAGCTCTGTGTGACACTGCAACTGTTTTGGACAGGCGTGTAGCTTACCATCAGGTGCACGACTTGTTCGTGCCGTCGCTTAATATTATACATAAAAAAAAATGAAATTATAATCAGTTCCGAATTCGTGAGATTTGCAGAAGGGATTATCCATATTATTATTTAGTTTCCCTAAATTAACACCCTCATCTCCGATCGCTTGTAATCAAATATTTTGGTTGAATCCCTTATCTAAAAACTATGTAGTCTATCTGGTACCTTGTAGAATATCACACATGTGGTTACCAAATTCTACTCGTCAAACACAAACATAGTCGACCTGCTTATTAACATTTTCTTTCATATCATACAACTCTTACACGTGTTCAAATTCAACCGAGTTCAACTATTGGGTCAAGGCCTTAAAACTTACGACAGATCTTATAGATACAATGATTATTCAATTCGGGCACAAGTACTATTGGGTAATTTTCCGAAAAATTTCAAATAGTGGCAATTTTTCCGGAAAAAAATCTTGAAAATTGGAAAAATTTGAAAAATAGTAAACATAATTATAATTTCGAAGGTTCATATTACATCATGTTCTATATAAAAGAAACTTGTATAGTTAAAAGCTACTTAGACAAAAACGAGATTTACAATAACTTCACAACAGCGAAATAAACCTCTTCACCTCACTAACTCGGGAAGGCTTTCTTTCTCAAGAAGAGTTTAATGAAATTCGAACTTGACGATGGACTGTAGTAACACAAAATATGCGCCTTGATGTCGAGTTGCGGATACCAGCCCGTTGCACCAAGTGGTGCACCTAACTTTTTCTTTCGATGAAAAAATAACACATACTGACACGTTCGACTACACAATTTGTCGTGCATTTATGAATATAAATCCGTTGGTATATTTTATTCTTATTGACATTAACTTGACAACAATATGAATACAAAGATCAAACACACAGAAAAATTTTCGTCGACCCGGTGGGATTTGAACCCACAACCATGCGTTGCATCATTGCTCAAACCATCTGAGCCACGGGGATGTGTTTTTGTTATCGATCTTTGTGCTGGCTTTCGGCATTCGTCACCGCTAGTGACATCTGGTGAGAGATTTTTGAATAACCTTCTTACCGCAACCGATACCTTTACAGGTATCACAACTGGCGCAGATGTCGCTTTTCGATCGTGTGTTCTATTTTTGTATTCATAATGATAACAAAAAATAATAACTAGTCGAATTTATAGTGAACAAAAATTTATTAAAATGTGTAACAAATTCTATGTGACCATTCAACATTCTAGAGGCCCATAATCTCTGCCTATCCCGGTGGGACACAGGCGTGATGTTATGTATGTGTTTTTTTATATTTGTACTTCATTTCTTTTATATCACGGTACATGTGAATTGTGAAAAGTACTGTGTATTTGTATTGTATTGTATCGGTTTAAATCTAACTTTAGTTTAACGAAAAGATAAGATTTCGTTCGGGAGCCTAATGGAATATCCTAGTCTATGTCGGTGCCGCCGGCGGTGACTGTAACTTAAATTGTGGCCAGGAAAACGGAGGAGTATTTATTATTAATTAATTAATAATGCCCATGGGACCTTTAAAAGGCGCGAAACGTTGGTTTGTTTGAAAGAACAAATGTACGCGATTTAGATCCGACATAATTGTGCTTTTTCAGAAAAAAAGAACGACCTCAAAAGTTCGTAGAAATACATCTAGGTACTTGAAGAGTTTTATGTTTATGTGAGTTTTAGTTCTTTTTTCAAGGCGGTTAAAAAGTTAGGAATAACTTAGTGTTATATTTCAAATATGAAACCAATAATTTACGTAAAATACTATAGATTAGATTATAAACAGAATTATAATCTAAGTTTAAAAGCAAAAAAATGGTATTATTTTTGGAAAAAATAGTTTCATTTCCATTTTAGAGGATTTTCACTTGTCCCTAAAGTTAAATTTAAGTCATTACTTAATTTGTGTTTTATTATATTTTTTTCCTGAATGTAATCGAGTTTTATTTGTGTGCAGTGTACTTAGCTTGTTTTGTGGCCCTCCCACAAATAATGTATCGCGAGAGCAGATTTCAAGATGCGATCTTTTTGCAAAAGAATATACCCTTAAGTAATAACTTTACTTCAGACTTTCAACTTTAATATCATTAAAACTTTATTTATTTAATAAACGTGTTGTATTCGTTGTGCACTTACTTTATTCGGGGGTGTCTAAAGATAAAACAAAATACTCCATACAATACACGTACCATCATAGGACTGGAAGAACGGTTGCTTCTTAATCGAGAGCACGACGACAGGTCCATCTTAATCATAATTTCCCGATCGCATAATTTTACGAAATTCAGCCGTTAAGTGGCCAGCTCGATCATATGATTTAACACCGTTGGATACTTTTTTATGGGGTTATGTTAAAGATAGAGTCTATACAGAGCCAATCGAGTCAATTGCAGCCTTAAAACTCAAAATTCGTGAAATGATTAACGAAATAGACCCACCATTTTGTCAAAAAGTGACTAAAAACTTTGATGAAAGAATCGACATCTGTAATTGTAGTCGTGGTGGACATTTAACAGATATCATTTTTTATTCATAATTGCCTTACTTTTTTAATACAATAAAAATTTGAATCATTGTTATCTAAATTTATTGTTTTATTCTGATTTACAAAACAAAGTTCTTGTTGAAAAACATTTTTTAATACAGTTGCTTAAAATGTTGTATTTTTCGTAATACAAATCGTGCCGAAAGTTGGATTTTTCGCACTATGCTTTTTACCTTTCCATTTTTTTTAATTTACTGTTGTTTGAAGTTTTAAACATAGAACTAAAGAGGTTGTATATTTATTTAATATTTATGTGCTTTGTGATGTAAGTCATTCGTCATTAAAACTTATATTTACTTACAAACATCTTATTTGTTTAAATTGCATAGACGTTTTATAAAACAACGGGTTACATTTAAAAATACCAAAATATTATCCATAAAGTTAGCTGATTGAGTATTAACAATGACCGGAGGCGAGTATTACGCTAGACCACTGCACGCCGCGCCACCAAAATAGTAATTTTAATGTGGCTGAATACTGGCAACAGTTGCTATTGTACTCTGAATTTTTATCAGACAAAGAAATAAAATGAGTTTTTTTTTCAAATACTGTTTTATTTTACTTTCAGTGTAGTTTTTTCGCAAATGTATTAAAAAAACGTCGTTTGGTACACGTGCGGATTTATCATTTTCACTTGTCTCGAGTCTTAGAAGCCTCGAGGCTCGTGAATAATGACTAACTTTCCGTACTTGTATCAAAAATAACTATTACCTATAACTTCAATTAATAAGTTAAGTCTATTTATAAATTTTTAGCAATTATAGTTATTAATGACAGAAAACATCATGATTGACCTAAACGTCGAAAAAGGTTCACAATCCTTGGAAAACGTATGACCCGCATTGAGCCAGCGTGATGGACTAAACCCGCTCCTTAGACAATCTCGGACAATGTATTGATGATGATGAGGCTAAATAAACATGGCGCCATTATTGCAAAGGAAAATTTAACAAGGCCGTGATTAAACTCTCTAGAGGAGACGTGTCAGTAGTTAAACGTATAATTACTTTTTTATGTTACTAAGTGACTGGACGAACAAGTCGTGCGCCTGGCGGTAAGCGACACGCCTGTCCATAGCAGTTGAAGCGCCACTCAGAGCTTTAAATCGCAAAGATCTGACGGACACTGCCACTGCGCTTATTACCCTGAGACATTTGGTAAAAGGCGCGTATCTGCAGTAAACCAAATTTCAATGGCTACGACTTCCATTTTTGCATAGTAAGCATTAATTTATGTTGACTATGGGCTCACAACAATAGACTCCCGTAAATCACGTAAATTTTGGTTGCCTCGAAATTTACGCGGATTTGGTCACTAAATTAACGAAATAGAAACTTATAATCCAATGCTAGTTATGCGTAATTGCACTATCACCGACGTAAGCTGACAAGTCCCATTTGCTTGTAATTTCACCAGCACCCTTAACGCTTCAAAATCGAAACGCACAGTAATGCTTGGCGGAAAAAATGGGTGAGATGGCAGTACTTCCCTGGACGAACTCTCACAAACAGCTCTACTGCTATTGTAAATAGATTGTAAGATCCATTTCAAATATAAGCTACAAATAACTGGATCATCTGAGACCAATAGTCCGACAGGCTTGATTATAACTTTCATGGTAATAAGTTTCTCGTTAATGTGATTTTAGCGATCTATACAGAACCCTATTTCTGGCACTATAGTATAGTAATACTGAAGGTTTTGCATCTTACATCCATCCATCTGATTGAAAGAAGGAAGTCATAGAATGAATGAAAAACATTGATAATATCTTGGAATGCGAACTCAATTATGGTCACATTGACACTTCTACGAGGTCAATTGAAACAAATGATGTGTAATTTATTACTAAAGGGAACTAATTATATTTCATTTTGTTATGACACGTCATTCTTTTTTTCCTAACAAGGTGATAAAGAACTTAATTCTTCAGTCGGATAAGCAAGAAGGTCGATGATCGCAATAAAAATGCCATAGAACGCACACGTTAAGCCGTACATTTCTTTGGTTGTGTCTGGGCAAGAATGTACTCTCTATGGAATCTGTAAACCTAAATTAAAATGTATTATCGTTTGTCCACAGCGGTATCATGGAGTCAAGCGGCGCGAGACGCCAGCTGCCCAAGGATCTGCGGCCCAGCTCTTCAGGGTGAACCAGTTTGCGCTACCGATGGCTATATCTATCCCTCGCTCTGTGAGATGCGGAAGAAGACTTGCGGAAAAGGTAGGCTTGGAATTCTGTTTCGCGTCCATAAATATGTTTCTCTCATCCCAGTCCGTCATAACTGAGAATTGTGGTCACTTCGCTTCGGGAGGCCGGCCAATCGCTTTCCAATAATGTGGTCTATACTTGCCTTCACTGTTTTATAAAATTTAGTAAAAGATGTTGCTATTTAGAGTATTGCACAATGAATCGGATCATCAGTCGTCTATACTTAAGCAGGTCCCTATTTTGAACTTAGTTAAAAATATTAAAGTATGTCCATGTTGACGAAGACCAACTGGTTTGATAGGTAATTTGTAGCATTTATAGTAACGTCTCATATTTAGAATACTAATTCACATTGTCTGACAATCTTATATGGCATTTCCAGGTGTAAGACTTGCTCAAGACCAAGGCTCCTGCTCCAGGGCACAAGGTTCAAAATGCGATCACCGGTGCACATCGGAACGGGACCCCGTGTGCGGCACGAATGGCAGAACGTATCTAAATAGGTGCATGCTGCAGGTTGAGATTTGCAGGTAAGATAGAGATGAGTATTAACCAGTAGGAAATTGTTAAGGTCGAAAGTGTAAGAGATAGGTAGCACAGAGTGTATTATCTAACACCTTCTCATTTGAGGGAAACTTATCCCAATAATATAAAATACACATGATATCTATGTATAGTACTTCTGTCTCCTTCTGGAGACAATACTATATTGTTAAATATAAAGTGTATATAACTATAACATACACTTTACATTTAACAATACAGTACAGAAGGTCATCGATAAATACTAAATGCCGACGAGCTTCATTGATAGTCACAGTTCAAAGTAATAAGTGACTGTTCGAGAAAATAAAGACTTGCGCTTCTCAAATCAAAGTAGTTTAGTAGTTTTGTCATTGGACAAAAATTGATGAATTTTCTTGATAACGCACACACACATCCACTGGTCCTAAATTAGCGAATTTCTTGTTCAATAACGAACTCCACATAACAAAGGCTGTGTGTGATTTTTATTCAAATTTGTTAACCGTAAACACTCGCGGTCTAGTTAGCACGGTGCTGAGCGATGCCTTCGGCGTATGGAGCGTTTAAGGGAGTTCATTAAACATCAGTCCTGTTTTGGCTTTCAGGGTAGGCATCGGTCTGTCACACTTGGGAGCATGTAATAACATCAGTGCCCATCGCGAGAATTGCCCCGTGGACTGCTCCCAGGCGCCTCTAGATGGACCTATTTGTGGTTCCGACGGAAATGTGTACAAGAACACTTGCCAGATGAAACTCTTTACTTGCGGGTAAGTTATGAATTCTTAGTAATCCAATAAATTAAGGAAAACTTTACAGTATGAGTATTCTGTGTTCCTAGTTAAGGACACACTTTGCGTAGCAAAGATTCCACACAATTGGAACACCAAGAAAGCATTCAAAAACTTTGGAAATCTATCAAACCAAAGCAGCGATCCGAATCCGTGGCCGCAAGAAACTTCAAAAATAGTTTTGTCAAGTTGAATGCTTCACAGATGGTATATTTCCGTCAATAAATAATATATTTTTTTTTACTTTTAGCCAAGGAGTAGTACGAACAAGCAAGAAGCACTGCCAAACGACACGTCATTGCAGGGAATCTTGCTGGAGAGTGGCCAGACCTACTTGCGGGTCTGATGGGAAGCTGTATGCCAATGCTTGCAGGATGAAGGCCACTAACTGCGGGTTCGTTTTTTGTACAGTTCTTATATTTGCTCTTGAACTAGATCTGAACTGCAAAGTTAGGTCAATTCTCGCACGAACTTATTGAGAAAATTCCTGTATACCCCAAACGTCAAAGATGTTAGGATTGTATGTACTTCGAACCTTATCTGTCCTGTTATGGTCAATAAATTAATATATCGTTATACCAAATCAAGTACTTTGCGAGGTGAAGACCGAAAAAAATTGAAAAAGATAGCGATCGATGTTATCTAGATCTTTCCAGACGAACATGACCCTTCAGAATTTTAAAATCCTTTCTTTCCGTTTCCAGTAAACATGTGTTCGAAGTACCAATGGCATTCTGCGTATCCCAAGAGCGTACCTCAGGGGGCGAGTCTTGTCCCACCGACTGTTCAGGACAAAAAGAGAAGGTTGTTTGTGGTTCCGATGAGAACATTTACAGAAATGAGTGCGAGATGAAGATGCTAAATTGTGGGTAAGTACTTCTTGGTTACAAATTCTTTTTTATACAAATGTAAGTGCGCGTTTGACCTCCATCGCACCTGATAGAAAGTGACGATGAGGTCGACGATGGAGCATGCACACCTAAAAAATGCTGAATAGGCATTTCTCTAGCCTTGAAAAGGTCCAAGTTATAACGTGCAGGCAGGGAATTCCACTCCATAGCCGTTCGCCATATAAATGTGGAAGCGTAACGCTTCGCGCGTATCTTTGGAATATCCACAACATAGGGCTGGAATCCAAGACTCCGTCTACTCCCCCGATGACGGAAAGGGTTATGTGGATAATTCCATCGCACTCTCCGTGATATATCATGCATAAAATAAAATAGCATGAGTATAATTCGTGGATGTGATGTATAAAGCGACGTCAGTTGTAAGACAGCGGAGCCAAAATTTGGCGGCCGTAGTAAAGCACCAGATGAAAACTAATGAGGAGATATCATGACGGCCCCGGACAAACTCTCTACTATGCCCAATAAAATTCAGATTGTGTAAAAATATGTATATCTCAAAAAGCTTTCCTATATCACGAACCTGTATCAAGGTAGCAGGTCATCTTACAACATGTTCTCCCTGAATGAACCCGTATATTTTTTACGATATCAAGTGACGCGACGAAACGACCAAGTCGTGCGCCTGATATAACATTTAGGGTCGTATTCCAGAACTCTACTCAATGCTCAAGTTAGGACTTGAGTATGATTTAAAGCACTAGAAATCATACTCGAGTCCTTGCCATTAGAGTCGTATTTCCAGTGCTTGAAATGTCACTTAGAGCTTTAATCACCACGCTACTCCTATATATATATGCCTGTAATTTTACCAGCAATCTTACCCTTTGAAGGGTTGGTACCCTTACACAGTGATGCTCATACTATAGCTTAGCGGCAGAAATGGATATAGTGGTAGTACTTTCCTAGACGAATTGTTCCGCCTATTCTACTGCTACTAAATTTTGTTCTAATTTTCAGTATACTAGATTTCTCGAATGAAAATTTGTGTTATGGATAAATTAGATATATAGTTTTACCGTATTGATCAGCTAATGTGTTTTATTCACAGTGTCAGCAATAGAAAAATCGTAAAGAAGGTAGACATGGAGAAATGTCGTGGCAAGATAAACAAGTGCATGAAAGTAAAATGTCCCGGCGAGTACGATCCTGTTTGCGGCACTGACGCCAATGTTTACAACAATATGTGCCATTTGAAGGTTGCTACTTGCATGTAAGTATTACGGGTGTGTAATGGAAGATATAACAACAAATGGTCTATTTTCACTTTCTATAACAACAGGTGATATAATTTCTAAGGATATAATCACTCACTGTATATAATCAACAAAAGGTTTACCTATCAGTAATACGAAATGACATTTTCCAGAAATAACGGTTGGTCGAATTTTCATAACCTCGAAAGTAATTTTGAGAGGAAAATGTTTTTTCTTGTAAACCTAACTTAACCTAACCTAATCGTGTCTTTGCGATAAACATCCAACATATCCTGAAAGAATAACGGTTTCGTTATAATTCGGTTTTCAGTGTAACGAAAATTTGAACAAATGTTTACCCAACAAAAGATATAACAACAAACGGCACAAATTCAATGTGTATAATAAACCTTCAGTACAACGAACATTAGATATAACAATTAGGTGACATAATAAACAAATGGTATAATTACTACCAGTATAATATATTATATTAAATAATATAACACAATATTTCGTTTTACGAATAATTGAAGCGCCTAAGTAAATAAATTAGCAAACATACCTGGAAGAGTAACATGACAATTCTTTATTTATTATTCCTTGTGGGTGGTTTTAATTTATTATCTTAGAATAATAACGCATAGAATGATAATTTCATATCAAACGAACTGTCATAAGTGAGGCAAAAATCAAATTCATGTAGGCTAGTTTTAGTAGTAGGTTAATTTTGTCGGTTTTAGTGAATATTTATATAAAAATACAAGTTGAAACGCGTTACTTACTTGTGGAATGTGATGTTAGTATCTGTTTTATGTTTGTCTGAGGTATTTTTACACTCATTTACCGCACATTTCGTAATTTTTAAGTAAAATTCTTGATCTGTTCGCGGTGCAAGTTGACCTTGAGCACTGACGGCCCGCCCGCTCGTGTAGGCCCATTGGGAGCGCTTCAATTTGCCTCACTTGGCGTGTGCGGGCTAGGTTTCTATGCGTTATTATTCTAAGTTTATTATATTTATTAAAACTTTAAGAAGAATATTTAATTGCATATACTAACCTAACCTAAACCCACAGGAGAAGGTCGAACCAACTAGTAAATGCAAACAAATTCGGTTTATTCACCATTGCACCTAAACACCACTGTGAATGTTATATCTGAAGTGTCTATATAAAATGAACATTATGCCATCGGTGTATTAGATTGAAAGTTGTTATATCAATCGTCTATTATAACCAGTGACCTTTATGTCATGCATGAATATGTCAAATGTCTATATTATAAATTAATCATATCTGTTGAGCGTTATACCGACTAAAAGCTTCAGTTTCAGCTTCCTTAGGTCCCAGGATAATACCCTGTCGCTCTCTTGTTAGGTCCCAGTTATCTTTTCCATGCTTCAATTCCGGTTTCTATTCTCACTCCTTCACTGTTCATGCGGTCAGACTTTGGGATGCACTTCCTATTACTGTTCACGAAAGTAAATCGTTAGCTATTTTTAAAGTGAGAGTTAAAGAGCATTATTTATCTACTATTCCATCCATATCTTAGGTATTATATTATAAAATATGTATTTATCTAAGTATTTATATAATTTATAACAATTTAATATTATTATATTATTTTTTTCCTTGTTTTGTTGTGCACATATGCCCGTTCTTTTAGTTATAGTGTCCTGTATTTAGGTCTGCAGGAAGAAATTTCTATTAGAAATAAGCAGAACCTTTTGTTTTTAATTTCGCTTGTATTCTTTGTGATTTGTTGTATTTTTCCTGTACAATAAACGATTAAACAAATAAATAAATAATATGTCATTTGTTGTTATATTTACGAATCGCACCCAACTAGGGTGAGTATAATTCAATTAGATTTGCGTTATGTACTAGAAATCTTATCTTCAATTCAAAAAAGTTCTTAAATTTGGTTTCAATTCATAAGTTTCCAAAACGTTTGTTTACGTATTTCAGGAAAGGCGTTCAACTTGCGCACTTTGGCAACTGCACGTTACTGCCTCGCTTGGAGATCGACTGCCCGGAAAACTGCGACAACGCTGTGGAACATCCCGTCTGTGGTTCGGATGGAAATGTTTACAAGTGAGATTATTTGTTTTGCTTTGAATACACTTTAAGAATAATTAAAGGAATTTGAGACAGGTTTGTTAAAATAAAAATGTACACCTGACATTAAAATGTAGTTAAAAGCTATCCCATATAACATACCTAAGCCAAATAAAAAAACTGTTCATCCGTTTGGAAGCTGAAACAGCCAGACTATATATAACTCCTTTCTTTTGCATATAAAAATGCACAATAATAAGAAAAATAAGTATTAATTAAGTATTATTATAAATATAGTTTCTCTATCACGAGTACATCCCTACGCAATATAATTAAGGGCTCTCCGTAGTAAGCGACAAAAGAGATTTTTTGACTGTGTGCTGTATAATTTCAGAACTGAATTTCCTGTGTATTTATACACTATTTACCATTGTTTGTGGCAATTCTCTCTATATGCATCGACGGATATCGCTTTGCAGGACACGTACTTTACAGGACCTCGTTCATGGCTCGATCTTCAAACTCATCAATCATCATGATCGTAATCATCAATAAGCCGACTTTGCAGTTTGTGTCATCCATCATGATCTTGACTTACTCATCTAGCACTTTTCTGCTTTCTGTAATATTGTGCTATTCTCGTTCACAGGTCCGAATGCGAGCTTCGTCGTCTAACTTGCGGACAACACGTAGTCCCAGTATCTGCGTCCCATTGCCGTACCACAGCGCTTTGCCACGAACCGTGCCCTGGCACACCCGCGTTCGTTTGCGGCTCCGACAACCGCTTCTATAAGAACGAGTGTATCATGAAGAAGGAGAACTGTGGGTAAGGAATAATCCTTGTG